TTAGTTTTCTAAGTTTCAAAACTACTACTAAGGTTTAAAAACTTTATTTATACGTAACTTCAGACGTAGAATCGAATAGACTTAGTTATATTGAAAAATAAATTCTCACCATATTATAAACTTTTTTTTCTCGCTTATCCGTAGAATATCTAACAGCCATTTTTCCGTATTTTGCACACACGACACACATACAGCAACCATTTTGTAAGACCCTGGAGTAAAGAAAGGGAAAAACAGTCTCGCCACATACTATACAATAAATTCTGCTAGAAAGGTGAGGACTATACGCTTTGAGGAAGAAAATGAAAAGGGAAATAGACATCAACATCAAAAAAGGTTCGAGATACGCGCGGCATACTGACACTAGCGTCTAGCATTAAAAAGATTGATTTTGTGGCTAATAAAAAAGATTGATTTTGTAGTGGTTAACCGAACGAATTTGTTCTCATCGTTAGTGTTCGCAAAAAAATGCCTGCAAAAAGTGTTAAAAGTAAAGAAGAAAACTCAAAAGTAATATTCAAGTAAGTAACAGATACTTTAGTGCTTTTGCTAATGTGCAATTTATCTGACTCGAATTTTAGATTATTCGATGTCGATAATACTGGTAAAATATCGCTTAAAAATTTGAAAAATATAGCAAAAGAACTTGGAGTCACTTTATCAGATGAAGAATTAAAGGTAACAAATACGGTGAAATCTAAGAAATTTATTTTTATTGGCTTTTCTATTAGTCTTTATCACATAAAATAATGCTTTGCCAGACCAATATTTTAACTATTTTTAGGAAATGTTTGCTGCAACAGATCTTGATGGAGATGGTAGCATAAACGAACAAGAATTTATGAATTTAATGAAAAAAGTAAAATTATAATTTTGGAATTTTCTCGAACAGATGTATGAAGAATAACCAGCAAACATTTTATCGTTGATTTTTGATTTATACATTTGTACGTATTCATTCTCTCTTCTATTGTCAAATATTGGTACACGGGTGCCAGTGTGATTTTTTTCTGAAAAACAAAAATATCTTGACTAAAAATAAAGAATCTTCCTTGACTTTTAAAGAAAAAGGAAACTGACATGACAAGGTTTTATATGGGTGAAAATTAATTCTAGATTTATCCCACAAAAAAACTTGCGGCACTGGAATAAAAGGTCCGCACTGCCAGTGCGCATCGATGCGCAAAATGACATTTAGTTCTCGGCAATGAATGTTCTATAAAAGTTTCTGCTTATTGACATGCAATTTATTGGTGTGAGTTGTCCAAATACTAATTGACAGGACACCGACAGACAAGAAAATTTATGAATTAAGATTTCTTTTTCAATCATCACTATTTTCAATTGCCAAAAATGACATCTTTTTTCAATGGAAGATACTTTTTGCTGTATAGTTCTTTGGAATCCTTCCTAATAGTGGACATGTTTATGCTTCATTAATACCTTGTTTTCGAAAAATCAACTTTTTTTTCCATTATTTGACCAAACATTTTTTTGTAATGTGAAAGATAGAAAATCGTATTCTGCACAAAATGAGATTAAAATTAAATATCATCCTTTGATCCTTTTTTGTTAAAACAGTATCAAATTCCTATCACGGCGAAAAAAATTATAATTATCCAGAGAGCAAGCCACACGGATTGAAAATCAAATATATCACACTGTGCGCCAGTGTCAAGTCCACACATCTATGTCTTTGTAGCTTTTCGAAAAGCTGATACGTGGTTAATGAAACTGAATTAATTAGGTGGAGTCCAGTGACCAGTATAACAGTTGATGACTAGTAACGACATAAACGATCAATTTTAGAAGCTTGTCAGCTGTGCGGAAGTTGTCGGGTTTTAGAGTTTGACACTTGTCAGCATCTTGCACCAATAACGATAGAGACAAGGTAGGATATTGTTCCTTTTTCTCTTCCTTTTACACATCCATATCCTAATTCGCACGACTGCCCATAGTACTTTTTAAATAAAACGAATTACTTCCGTTGCTGTATTTGTCCTTTGGGTTTTCGATGCAAATATTAAGTCACATTTGCTTATCATGCTTGACTATTATGTGTTTGCTATCAAATTATTTTTTAAAATAATCCTCTACTTAACCTCGGAATCACTAGTATATCGCAATATTAATGATATCTGAAAGTTACTATTAATTCGATGCACATTCAAAATGATTAGTGCTTACTGATGCGTGGAACAACGTTGAAGTCCATGTTATATTTGATTATGTTACGCAGTCTAATGATTTTAATACGCAAGCTGCACTGATCATAATTCAAACAAATCTAATTGCATTACAAACTTCATCATATAGAAAATGTCTGTGAGTTGTGATGTTTTCTTCAAATGTTTCATAAATATTGATAAGTGATTGCGAAATTCTTTCTATCGCTTGAATGAAATGTCAGTTTGTTTTGATACATGAAATTACGCACTAACAGGCTTAGTATTAGCTTACCCCATCAGATATAGTGAGTCATTGTATCAAGTGATTTATTTATCTCCATCGTTTATGTTAAAACATTGCTAGAATATATATATATATATATATATATAATAGAAACTATCCACGTATTTTGTGATTCTAAGCTGAGTCAATTTTTGCTAAAATTTGAGCAAACAATGATTCACTGGCGAGACGATACAACGGTGGGATCCCATCAGATATAATCGTACAATAAACTAACAATTCATGCACTTTTTCCGTTTTTAGAAATATAGAGATAATTTGTTGGTTTAAACTTTATTCATCATTTTCAAAAAAAGATAATTTGTTAAGATATTGAGTCTCAAAGATATTTGTTGAAACGTTCACAGACGATTTGAGAATAGAATTTAGTATTAAATATGGGAACAAAATTTGATAAAATCAATACTGACGAAAGTCAACCACAAAAAGTCCGGTCAAAACAAAAAACTATACGTAATAGTCAAGATGAAATTTTACAAGTTTCTCATACAAATAATTTATATCAATTCATGTGGTCATCAAATTCTGTTCAAGATGTAAATAAAAGTTATAACGGTATGTTAATATATCGAAGAAATTTATAAATTTAGGTTGTTTGAAATCAATTCTTACACTTATCTTTAGATCATTCTACTTCTCATCCTGATTCTGAACATGTTGAAAATAAATCACAATCATGGGATAAAAAACTTGTACCATTTTCTATGACACTAACAGACCATGATGAACTAATGCAAAAAACGTCAAAAAAAGACGCAAAAGTTCAGTTTACTGCGCAACATGATTCAGAAATACATGATAAACTCAAGACAAAGAATCAACATCCATTAATGCAACCTATAAAAAAATCGATCTCCACAGAAAATGTGGTAGCAAACCAAACTTTTCAACATCAGCATCAATTTCCACAACAACCGTCAGCTCTCAAAACTGACATAGCAATACCATCTCAATTATTGATAGAAAAGTCAAATGAACAAAAAAGACGTTTGGTGGTTAAAAAACCATGCGTCATTGATCGACCAAAAGCTGTTTATGTTGATATCGACCATCGTGCTACAATCGAAAGAAACATTTTGGATACAAAACCGATGAAAACATCTCAAACAAACAAAAGTGTTGATGATTCAAAATTACCTTCTAATCATCAGCATAAACATCATACAAAAACAAAATTAGACACAACTGGAAAATCAACTGAACAATTGCAAACAAAAATTGAACATCCAAAACGAAATTATTTATCTAATAGTTTATCATTAATTATAGATGAACCACATCTATCAAAACAACGTAATTTAACTGAATCGCGACCTCAACGAAACGATCCATCTCAGAAAAATCAAACTAGTCATTCTAGACGAGTAACAATAGATAAAACAGATAATAAACAAATATCAAAAACACGAACAGATGTGTCGACCACCTCTGATGGTATGAAGATAAAAAATACGACTAAAAGTGAGGTTAATCATGGAACCAAGAATCAAATACGTAAAATAAGAAAAGAAAAATAGTTTATTCGGTTATTATCATCTTCGTTTTAAAATAATTATGTATTTGATGGTTAAAAAAAAATATCATCAATGTATAAAGCAGATACAACAATTAACATAAAATGAATTGACAAGTGAAGCTGATGTCAATCTAAAGCTGGATCAGACTCCTATATTCCTTGGAGTAACACTCTCTTCTGATCTTAAATGATCGGTTCATGTCAACGAAGTTGTCAAGTCATGTCATAAAATAGTAGACTATATTGACAGAGTGTTTCATGATGGTCCTATGTTTATACAGCTTATGTTTCATAAAACTTGTGTTTTACTTAAAATAGACTATTGTTGTGCTATCTATCATTCTTTTTTTTTCATCTCATTTTGAACCTCTTGAGACCCTGCACTGTTTGGCTACAAGAATTATCAGCAGGAACTTTCATAAGGCAACTAATATTCACGCTCATACTTTAGATAGTCAGTTACGTGTTGAATCTTGTCGTCTCTGCTTTCGATTAATATCGTTCTCTCGTATTTATCGTGGCTTCACTCTTTTAGACTCTGCTCAATATCCTTCACTTCTTACACCAAGATCAGTTGAAACACAATAATCACAGTAAAGCAGTTTACCTCCCCTTCACCTATTTCACTATCATGCAGTCTTTCTTCTCCTGGAAAACCTCACACGACTAAAACAGAATAGGTTTAGAGTAAATAGTGCTGTGCTATATTCTTCTCTCTCTATATTCAAACGTCTGTTAAAAGTACATCTAGATATATAATTTGGTTTTTTCTCTCAGATTTGTTTTATATGTTTCTTTTTTTTTGATTTGGGCCCATGTAGAACAAAAAATATCTAATTAAAGATTTTTTTTTTGTCTAAAAGTTTTGCATTTGCATTTATTTTATTCTTATGCCTAACCTTATACGGTTAAATAAACTGAAGATAATTAAAGATTTGAGACTTGTTCTTAATGATTGATAAAATTCAGTACTCATTTAAAATTACTTTTATTCTGTAAAAGAATGAATATTAATTTGAAATTAAATTAAAAAAATTTTTTGATAGACTTATGCAACGTATTTATCGAATGTATGGATACAATCATAAATTATATAATTTACGTTTATCTTTTTTTATAAAATCACAATAGATTAATATATATATACAAATGCATAACATCATAATTTACTTGCTATAGTCGAGTGTGTACCATTTTTGAATGATATATTATTAGATGTGCGTTGTATTTCCCATTGACGTGTTTCATTGTTCATAACTAATCGATTTAAATATTGATTTTCTTTATCTATTTTTTGTTTATTAAATTCTTCAACAGTACCATCAAACAGAATCAATGTATTATTTACATCGATATTGGATGGATAAAGTGTATCACCTGAAAATTAACAACATCATCATTTCTAATAAAAAAAAACAATAACAACGAAATAACACATACCAGGATAAAGTATAAGAGCACTATCGCTACACTTGACTAACATGCCGATTGATCGCTTTACACCATTTACTACACGTTCAATAATAAATTTATTTAACTCAAATAGATTTTGAAAATTTTCCATTTGAGACAATTCATATAGCTGTGGAGGTAGAAATTTTGTTTTATTACTCACATAATTTTGTAACCATATATTAGGTGGTAACCACTGAAAATCAATTAAAAAATCCATTCATAAATTACTTCTAAAGATAAAAATTAACGATAATAATACAAATTAATACATACCTGTGCAGAAACGGTTTCTGGATCATCAGATGCAATTATACATGTTGGTGTGTCTTCAATAGATGTTATATAAAGAAGATTGTCGAAACGAATATCAGAGAACGAAGGAGTAAGATGTTCTGACCATTCGTGCAGTGCCATTATATCTGGACATAAATTATGTATTTTACACATTTCTAAAAATTTAGCTCCATCTTCACGACATGCCGAACGCCAATAGTCTATTTTATTGATTGTTTGTAAATAAGCAAAACTAAAAAAATCTTAATCTTGAAATTTTTTTAATAATAATTAAAAAATTGCACGAACCTACACATTTTTTCGTGGTGAATTGTTTCTTGTTGAACATACAAGAAATCCTGTTTCTTCAAATGTTTCTCGAATCGAACAAATACGCATGACAAGTCCGGGATACGGATTTGGTATATCATTATACATATCAATATCCGTCCGTTTAAACAAATTAAAATCAACTGTTGATGGTAGAAATTCTTTAATATAATGTGGCCATTCTTCTGATAAATCAGACGGATCTAGTGTTCCACCAGGAAAAACAGAATAATCGGGAGCAAAACGCATATTAGGTGAACGTTGTAATAACAGTATAGAATAATCAAATAAATTATGTCCATTTGTTTTCATTCCATTCAACAATGTTTGTTGTCCGAGAAGAATCAATGATGCAGATTTTTTCCAAGACATCTTTTCTAAATCTAAACAATGATTGTCAAAGTCAACTGATTCAGCACTAATTGACCTTCATTACTCTATTGAAACGTTTTGATATTCAACAAGTCTATTCCAAGAGACACAATGATTATTGGAGATCGTTTTTAATAAAAATTTTTTAGTAACTGATTGCTGGTATTGAAATGAACTCCATAAAACGCCTTCTGATGTGATTAATCTGATTAATTAGGGATAAAGATGTTTTTTTTAGTATAGCATCTTTAGGCGCTCAAAACTACTGTTTAGCCTACCAGTAACGTTCTCGCTTCGTAAAAATTCAGGATGACAGATGGGTAAAGGGATCGAATTCGATCACGAACTTTTTATTTTTTGATTATTTTGCTCCCATTTGAATAAAAAATAAAATATTATTGTCGTCTCAGCAGTATGATGCAAATGTAGTCAAACTTCCTTCTCCAAGTTTATTCGTAGACAGAAGGATCCCGTACAATGTGTGATTTGATCCTACTACCTTATGTTTTGCAAGACAGTACCTTACGGCACCTTTCAGCATTCTAATCGGTTTTTATTTATCTCATGAAATTTTCAAACTTTGATCTATCAATTTGAACAAAAGAGCGTTAGATCGCTCCAATAGGTTTAATTATAAAAGTGTAATGAAAAAGAGATTCAAACAAATATAAATGTAAACAAAAGGTTTTTTGTTTTTTTGAAAAACAATGTAAAATAGACAGGTTTTAACAAACAAAAGCGCCCATAAAAACAACACACAACAAAAATGTTTATAAACACACACACACATGCGTACGCACACTAAAAAAAATTTACTAAAACTAGCTTCATTTCGTTAAATTAAAAAATATACAAAGAATTATGTTCGAGCAGCTCCAAATGGGGCTACTAAAAACGGTTAAATTCTCTAGATTTTTATAGTTCTGCGATTGCTATAAGAACAAAAATGCTTAACAGTTCAAATAATTACCGAAAAACTTTTTCTTCTGCCGAATTTTTAGAAGACTCTATGCGTGCATATTTTCTCTTGAAAGGATGAGAATAAAAATGAGCTAAAATCGCTTGATTTCTATCAATAAAATTTCTCTATTTCTGTCAGAAAACTCTAGAAGAGTTTTACAAAAAAGAAACAAAGAAAACTATACAAAACATACGGCAAGAAAAACTGAGATTGCACTTGTTATTATATGATTGAGATTTTGAGAGAGAGAAAGAGAGAGAGAAAGAGGGAGAGAGATCAAGAACTTTGATATGATTCATTATTTTTATCTACATGTCCATATTTAGCTAAATGTAGAGCTTTTAAACGGTTTCGAGCTTCATCTAATTCACGTTCTTTTGTCAGTATAATTTCTTTCGCTTTTATTTCTTGAGCAATACCAGGTACGAATCTCATAGATACTTCTAAATATTTTTCTTCTTCTTGCATTTCAACAGCTTGTTGAGATGAACGAACAAGAGCATCTGTTGCACGTTTAACAGCATTACCTATGAATAAATATAGAATAGAAATAGATCAACAATCATTTATTTATCAAATACTTACCAGCATTTTGTAATCGAGCCATGGATTGACTCATAAAATCAGCTTTCACTTTACAAGCAACTAGAAGTGCAGCTGTATTTGATGAAACCTGTTTTGCAGCTGATATGAGTTTTTCTTCTGTGCCGTGACCTTGTACTAGGCCATTAGCTGCATCGCACAGACTATGACATGCAACAGCCACGTAACGAGCCTGAAATAAAAAACATATTTTTTTCATATTTTCTTTTTAACATTATCACAAGAAACTTACAGCGGATATTAAACCTTGTGACCATTGTCCATCTTCGTCTTGATTGGTCACTCTCATACCGGAAGCATTTGACAACTAGAACATGAAAGATTTATTGATCTTGTAATATGAACAGATATTGAAGAGTTTTGTTAGTAAAAGCAGATAGTTCTAATAGCGGAAACATGCTTCACTTTGTGTCTTTTCTGCATGGACAATAATCTGCCGACATTGTGTAGTTAAATTCCACTGAAAAATAATCACTAAAACTAATCATATAAAAAATTTTACGAAAGCGAAAGAAAAAAAAAGAAACGATGCTTAGATTAGAGTAAAAGATGTACGAAGAGTAAGCGATCTACAAAACGTCCTTTAAACTCTAGATATGTTTCGAAAACTAGCTCAGAAATATCAGCCAGTGGCATCGCGTACATCTCATGACATTTTTTTTAAAAGCTAGATGAACTCTAGATTTAACTAAAAGTTTTTGCCATGTAGAAAAGAATAAATCATGCAAAAAGGAAATAACAATAATAATAATGACGATGATGACGACAACGAATAAAAAATAATAGCCATTAAAAAGAAAATACTACAACATCTAATTTTTGTGTACGTGTATGTGATACCTGTGAGGATGTAGTAGAACAAACGTTTTTAGGTAAAAATGGGTTCGTGCGTTTCTAGATGACAGAACAGAGAAAGAGAGAAATAAACGTTTATTTGTGATATAGAATAAATTATTAATTTTTTTTTTGAATAGTAATAAAATGAATCATGTGTGTTACTTACTTTTCCTTGTGAAACCAACTCTTTTTGTGCTGCCGTAGCTCCTTTAATCAAGGCACTGGCTGCATTCATTATGGATTTGGCCGCTTCAAGTATTTGTTCATCAAAATTCAAATTTTCATTAATTTCCTAAAAACAAAACAAATCGTTATTAATTTGTCTTAAGATAATTTGAATAGATTATATAAGATAAACTCATGCATTGACGGACGATATCAAGTTCGCATAATGTGAAACAAATATTATAAACTTAGAATGAAGTCAAAAACAGAATTAATCGATATAGTTGATGTTATCAACTTACTGGCTCGTGTGATCATGGTTGCTGTAAATACCTATTTAATTATATTTTAAATCAAATAGTGAGCACTCATAACAACCAAGATCACACGAACCAGTCAATTGTGAACAAACAACATACTCGTTTAATTGTTCAAGCCTCATACAAGTCATAATAATTGTTCCATTTCAGACGAACAATAGTTAATACAAACAAACAACTAAAATCGTGTATAGAAGATAGTTATGTGTATGTGTGAAGGAAAGCCGTGCAGATATGAAAAATACTCGGTCGAATGATGCTCGGACAACCAAATATCAAACATATCATAACGACAAACCATATAATTAACCTCGTTATATATATATATATATATCATGCTAAAATAGAAATTTACATTTGTTTTTTTTCGAAAAAATTAATAATACCTTGGGTTTTCGACGTGGTTTCAAATAAGATAATTTTTTTGCTGCTGCTTCGATACTTTGAGCAGCTAATAATAATTCACTTTCAGCAATATATGTTGGATCATCTGGATCAATCCAATCAGATCCTTGCAACGAAAATATAATCATTATTTAACGAGAAGGATAGTTTAATATTTGTAAAAATCGCTCATTTTTAGTTTTTCTTATTTTTACCTTTAAGCTGTTCCGCACAATGTACGAGATCTTGAGTGGATTGTGTAACTGATCTTAAATATACTAATAATTTTTGTTTTGCTTCATTCGATGGTTTTTGTATTAATATATGAATGGTTTCTAATAATTCTTTATAGTGTTTTGCACAATTTTTTCCACTCTCTAACGTTCGTTGTCTTAAATCTTGTTGTTCAGTTGTATACGCACTACATTTGCAAACAAACAACAGATCAGATATTGATTTTCGACCCATATTTGCTGCAGCAATTATTTCATCTTGACGACATGATTGACCAGCACTCATCGCTTTACTTGTCGCAATTGTAATCTGAAATAAAAAATCATAGTTTAAAGTTTAAGCAACATATTTTATGAAAGAGTAGAAAATTGTACCTGTTTTGTAACACGAATAAGTTCTTCAGGTGGTGATCGTAAACTTGGCGGTTGAGCACTTGAGAAAGCACGAATTTCCTAGAAAAAAACAACAACAACCAAACATAAAATTTGAGAATGACAAACTCATTCTATCACTTTTATTTACCTGAGCAATTGCTTCAATGGCAGCCTCCAATGCATTTGTACCTCTTGATGCTTCATCTTCAACTGTTTTCACTGTTTTTAAGAGCGATGTTACATTCGTGACCATAACCTTGGCTGATTCTTTTAATTTCTGCATTTCAGGATCGTTGATATCTTTGCCACTTGCCGATTTTGTGACGCTTATCAAATTATTTAAAGCTTGTGCAACATCCTTGACACTATTAATTAGGAGTACTTGCGCTTCGCCATCTTCAGCACCTAACGAAGCAGCACCAAGTTTCACAACTTCAGCCAACTAAATACAGTTAAAATAAAGTCAAACGCGATTGAACATAAATCATATAATTTTTTACCTTAGTGATTGTTCGAACGGCAGCTTGTGCAGCCGAAGCTAATTGTTCCTGTGAGCTTGCAGCACCAGCTACTAATGTTTTAGTATCTTCAACTAGTGCTTTTGCTGTTTTAAGAATAGCTTCGCGATGATCAGCAAACGTTTCACCATCACGCTCAGAATTTAATGTACCAGCCGTTGCAAATAAAATTGTGGTATCCTAAACAAAAACTTTTATATCAGTAAGCAAATCAATACTTCAAATTAATTTGTACTTACCAAATCAGCTATGATGCCACTCACAGTACTAGCAGCATTGATACAAGCCTGAGTGCCACGTGCTGAAGCTTGAAGTGCAGCCAAAACATATGAAATCTTAAATAGGAAGAAAATTTGGTTTTACTTTGTCTTCATACTGATACTATTATCTATGGTCACTTTAGTATAACATTGTTGCTCACTTTTTCAATAACTTTTTGACATAAATCTTGTATTTCACGTTTTAATGTTTGATCATGTGGATTCTGTTGCAATTGTCCTATTTTTTGTATTAATTCGATACATGCTTCTCCCAATTCACTAACAACACGTTTAATTCTACTTGCTAATTCTGTAGTAGATGCTGTTCCAATAGCACCGTACGTTGCTCGTATTAATTCATTATATTCTTTTGTCAGTTGACTGGCCAAATATTTAACGTCTTCATGGTTTGATGATTTCGTCAATATATCTTGTGTTGTGCGTGCCATTTGACGAACAATTTCGACCATACGTGTTTGATAATCCTGGAACAAACCATCCGTGATTACGTTTGAATCTATAGTATGGATTAATTTTCGAATATTTTCACATAAACCACTCATAATACCGATTGACGATGAATTTTCTTCAATTGTATGAACTAATTCTTTCAATAATGATATCATTTGTGACGAATTTTCATCGACAACTTTATGCCATTGAACGTTTTTCACATTACCACTTGATTCTTTAGCAGATATTAGCAATTGTAAACCAGTTTCTACAACAGATTTTAATTGTTCTAAGATTGTTGTCTGTTGTCGACTGTTTGTTATACGTGATACATAATCAATTGTATTGCGAACTAGCGGTTCAATATATGTTGTGAATTGTGTCACACATGAACCTAAACGTTCTGATTCGCGTTTTGATGAACGACGAATATCTTCGATATATTCTGACATAAAATGGGAGCTTGATGAAATTTGTTCTTGATGAAACTAAACATAGAGATGTAGATCAATTAAATATAATAATTTATTAGAATAATCTGTAGTATAGATTGATAGATATATCTGCTATCATTATATACAGTTTAGTTTACCTGAAGGGATTTATCTGTTTTGGGTAATGATCCAATATTCATCATAGCTTTATCAACATCGTGAAATAAAATTCGAAGTTCTTCAATCGCTTTTTCACATTCACGTGAGCCAGGCGCCATTTCCCTGGAATAAGTGATAGATTGTTACTTTACTATTCATGAAAGAAGTAGTTCAACGTACTTCACCGATGTCGCTAGACGTTTAATTGATTCTGAAACAGTTTTTGTATGCGTTGCCAATTGTTGCCATTGACTCGGTTCTTTTGAATTCATAATCAACGTTTTTGAACATTCAACTATGTTACACGCACCATCGACAACATTACGAGCTGAGGATACAATAGGCTCCTGTAATTGACGACCCTAAGAATAACCGTACGTGAAGAAATTATATATCATCTTTCATTCATTAAACTTACTGCATTACTAATTGATGCTGGAATACTTGAAAATTCTTTTGACATGGCATACGTATAAAGTTCATCGATAGATTGAAGTAATGGTCGACTTGTTTCAATGCATTCTCGATGATGTTCATGTGTATAAGAACTATCCAAGATCTAGATAGAAAATAAAGCATCATTAGCTCTTAATTCATTGAACAACTATGAAATTAACCTTTATTGTTCGCACAAGATTAGCAGTAGCATTCGCTACATCTTTAGCTGATTGAACAAAGCTTCTACGCGCAAGTGCATTTGTGGTTCGAGATGAAGCATCACGTGCCGCATTACATAATGTTGACGTATTTTTTGCAATGGTTGTTGCACAACTCAAAATCTAAAGTATAAATAAACCGTTTTTTCTTGATCAAATTCAGTAAAATTGATAGCAGAATATACTTCGTTTTTGTCGATAGTTGAATTAGATAAATCATTGCATGCTTGACGTATTGAATTAACAGAACGTTGAAATAATTGTTGATCAACAATGCTAGATTTTTCTTTTGTTGACGATGAGTCCGATACACCAATCAAATAAGCTGCTTGACCAGATGCTTCGCTTAAACCACAAACAGCTGTCGAAGCATCACGAACAGCTCGAGAAAATAGTTGATGATTTGTATTTTTCACGGCACTGGCTATATTCGTCATTGCTGAGCCCAGATGCTAAAATGTTAAAAAAAATTCATTTATGACTTTATAGTTGATTCCTGCTTCCAATGATCTATAAAAAAAAGAGTTTCAAAAATTATAGTTCAAAACTAAAGGATCCTGTCCGTGAGTCTAGACTGGAATGGGAGGGTGACAGAGTTTAATTTAACTACCGAATGGTCTTTGATAACTTAGATATAACAAACCTTTGAATAATCAACGACGTGATCTAATGCTTCGAAATATGTATAATCTGTCACTGGTGTAACAGGATTTTGTAAAACTGTTTTTGATGTTTGCATTTCTCTAATAGCATTATCACATTCTAATCGTCCCATTGATGATTGTGCAGTATTTACATCAACAGTTAAACAAACAGAGATAACATCATTGATACTCTCTGTCACAGCTCTACAAAATAATTGAAGATGTATGAATATAAAACTTAAAATGCAAATAATCATCATTACTTTGCAGCAGTTGTTAATTGATTTTTGGTACTCGTTGAAGTTGTTGTTGTATCAATTGATGCTGATTTCGCTCGTTCGAGTAATGCACTCGATGATGTATGCACTTGTTTTAAGGATGAGATCACTTTAGAACGTTTTTCATCTTCCTAAAAATACATTACAATAATCTTATTAATATTTTATAATTAATCATAGACAGATAAAGTTCTACCTGATGACCGGCTAAATCGATTCCATTATCTATAAATTCACTGAATGCACGACTAAAACGTTGCGTTATTTGCTGTAATGCATTTGTTCCACTACGTGCACCTTAACGAAGAAAAGATATTTTAAATGGAATTAATTCTTATTTCAAATGTTTTAATTGAAAACTTACTGACAACTAATTCTGTTGTAGCATTATTCAAATCAGCAGCTGCACGACTAATATGTGTTTGTACATCATCATATGTTCGAGACGGTTTTCGATTATATGGACCAGCTAATGCGTAGACATATTCAGACATTTGTTTTAAAGCATCATCAATATATCGTTGGCTTGGCATATTTGACAAACATGCATTTAAGGCTGATTGTACTTCTTTTGCAATCTAATATTAAAAATAATCTTGAAAAGTTACAATAAAACTTGTAGAATAATATATCAGTCTTGAGCACTTTCATTAGTAAAGATGAATGATTAAGTCAACAAAGAAGATAGAAATTCATTTCGTACTTCTGCTAATTTTGTTTGTATTTCTGTATCTTGTGGTGAATGAACAGCTTTTTTAGCCTCTTTAACTAATTTTGTTGATTTTTCTAATACTTCGCGAGAAGAATTTATAATTGTTTCTTGCATTCGATAATCGGATGAACTAGCTGCTATACCACGAATTGAGTTTGTTAATGTTTTCAGTGTATTCACCGCATCTCGTGCACATATTCCCGTACAATTTTCATCACCCTAAGAACAAATAAATATTAATACTATCATTAAGTTGACTCTGAAACATGACATTTATTTACTTGTGCGACAGCATTTAAGAGCTGTGAGACAGTTGAACCTTAAAAAAAATCGACATTTAATCATAATACCTCGCATATAAGAAGATAAATTAGAAATCATTATAATGATTAGCAAAAGAGTTTAAAGGCTACGGTGCTGAAATCGGATCATCGGATCTTTGATTTAACAGTCATCACTCGCTCCAGTACTTACCAACTTGTTTACACATCGAACATAATTGAGCAGACGATGTATCAATCTAAATAACAATAAATTAATAGAATATAAAATCCATCTTCTCACAAATTATACTCACTGTTTCTTCAGGTTTTGGACGTAATTTTCCATCTTTTGCTTGTTTTTTTATATCAATTAGTTCTTTATCCAGTAAATCAATCGATTCAATTATAGTTTCAACATCTAATGCAGCACCACACAATTCTTGTGCCTGAAATTAAATTATTTTCATACAAACATAATTTTAATACAAAAATCTTTTTATCTTACTCGAGTTAGACACGAACGAAGATCCATGATTGATTGAGTCAACTGTTTCGAACTGTTATTTAAATGTAATGCTTGTGATTGATCTTGAATTGTTGGTACAGCTGCTTTTGCCAAAGTGGTGAGACGCGTCGCCGGTCCAATAAAATCATCACATGCATTTAATAAATTAATTTGTGAACTAAATGAATCCGGTTTTACAATTACTCCACGAATTCCTAGAAAAAATAAAATAAAATGATTGAGGATGACAGATTGAAAGATTATTTACCTTGAACAAGTTTTGGAATTAAATCTGCAACTTGTTTACATTGTTCAACTAATTGTTGATGAGACTGTGCATTTTTATTTGATTGTGCCGAGCCTTGTGTGGCTGCTATACATTGTGTTGCTGATGATGCACAGTTTTTTGCACATTGTTCAACACGTTTAAGAACTTTACGCTTTACATTATTACTAGAAGCCACGTTTGTTGCCGATCTTTAAAAAAAATGAATATTTGCTGTTTAAATGTCAAGAATCAAAAAATTTGAGTTTACCTCAATTCTTCTGCTGCCTTTTTCAAGCAATATTGTAATTGTGTATCGTTTGGTTTCGTTGCACAACCTTTAGCCGCTTCAACCATTTTAGCTGTTGCATCTGCTAACATTTTAGCGGCTGATAATAATTTTTTTTGTTGATTTGTATCATCAACAGTCGATTCGGCTTGTTGTCTCAATGATGAAACTAATTGTGCTGTTGCTTGTGCTAATATTTTAGCTTGTTTAACCATTTCAGATGCATCACCCACAGATGAAAACAGACGATCGGATGCTGTTAAAATTTTATCTATAGATTCATCATGTTGCTGCGTTGAAGTAACGTTTGAAGTAGTAGATGTATTTATCATTGTTGTAGTCGTAGTAGATGTAAAATGACCAACTTCTGTAGATAAAGCAGCACATTCTGTAGCTTGTTTAATATGCAATAGTAATTCATTCAACGTCTTTGTTACAGATTTTGCTGCATCATCTAATTCAGATAGCATTTGTTCACTTGTTGTTGCCTGATGACATGAGTTTAACACAGCTTCAATCGAACGTGTGACGTAACGTGTAGACTCGATCAACTGTTCTTGACATAACGGACTTGATATAGTAGCAGCAACAACCTAATTAAAAGAAAATAAATTTTACTTTTTGATAAAATTACAGACGGTGAAATTTTCAAATTTGAATAATATAACATACTTTAGTACAAGCTACCAACTGAGATGTAGCTAATGCGCATTGTGTTGCTGTTGATATAATGTCATTAACATATTGTTGATCACTAACATTACTCGCTATATCTTTTGCTTTATAAACGTACAGTGCCGTAGCATTGGCGACAGATTTTGCTAATGATAACAATCTCTCTTGATAAACACTGTCGAGTATATCGTCATTTGTTCCATTTGAACCAATTTTCTTAATTAAATCTTGACTGACTTCACCTAATCGACTTGCTGTTACAAGGAGAGACTGTCTAGCCATTGAATCTGTAGTATCCGATTCAATACACGATAGTAAATCACTGAATGTTGAACATAAACGTCGAGTAGCATTCATCAATGGATTTGTTTGATCATCAGCCTCAGTCATTGAAGAATAAGTTTCCATTTCTTTACAAAATTCATATAAATTATTCGTTATAGTCGATATAGCAGCGCCAAGTGAATGTTCATCAGACCGATGTTGATCAGATGTTAATGTAACTATTTGAGCTGTCGAAGCGTTTATAGCACATAATTCACTGCCCAATAACTGACGGCTAACATCTAATCGATTTTCACGGCTCCATTGTTGTTCATCCTATCGAAATTTAAAATGTATTTATAGGTTGAATCATATATATGAAAGGGAGAAAATGATGGCTGCTTACCTGTTGTGGTTGTAAATATTCTAGACGAAGTTCTCTAGCTAATTGTGATTGTGCTGTAGAAACAGCATTTCTTGCATTTTCAATTGTTGTATATAAAGCGGCACGTCTTTGCGGTGGTACATGATGCATTGGTTGTATTGGTTGCATTGGTTCTATATAGCGCTTTAAGAAATAAAATAAAAAGTAAAAATGGTAATTAAAAGATGTTTTATAGAAGGAAAAGTTGTACCAGATTTACTAACGATTAAAACACAAAAATTATAATCGATAGCGAAATCTAGTTCAATTGTTTAATGTTGCACAGGCTAATATGATTGAGAAAAATCATTTTCTCAAAACAATAAAACTAAATTGAATAGCTCAATGCAAAAGAAGTTTGTATTTAACTGAATCTATCAATAAAAAAAATGTACTTGATGTTCAATCTTTCTCTTACGTTAGCTTGCATGAAATATTCTGCTTCTCGTTCGTGATCACGAAGATTTCGTTGATGCATATCATAGTAGGCCGGCACATCCATCATAGGCTCATGACCATAATCAATTAACTGTTGATGATGAATACGTCCATCATCAATTAATTGTTGATGATGAATACGTCCATCATCAATTAACTGTTGATGATGTATACGACCATCATCTAAAAATTTAAACATTCGTTGTTATTTTTGCTCTATTATCTCAGAACATTCTTTAGTACCAGTGAATGTTCCTCTCATCAGAGGTGGTGAATAAACATTTTCTGTATGAATATAACCAAATGGTGGACGATTTGGTTGAACAATTGTGGCTCTAAAACAAGTAGTTTATGTTTATTCTCATTTTTTTTTCCTAAGAAAATATCAAAATAATTTACTTTGCTGGTAAGACAATATCTTCGACCATTGTTGATTCTTCTCCACCTCCATTATCTTGAACAATATATTCTCGATCTTTTTTCTAAAATACAAGATAAAAATATACAATACAAGATAACCATTAGATTGATAAAAGAAAAATAAACCTTTCTAAGAATAATATCAATATAGCCAGAAATTAATTGTGAAATTTGTTCACCATCATTCGTTTGAACAGAATAATAAGCACTTGCATAATCACCAAAATCCTAGAAGAAACGAGAAAAATAATTGACTTCAAATATTTATCTGTTTAGTATACATACCAATGTAAATGTATTGGGAGATGCCGTCCAACGTTTAACATGTGTCAGTGGCCATACTTGATTAAACTAAAAACAAATAAAAAAATGAAATGAATACATGCTAAGAATATTATCTATTTCTTTCTACTTAACCTACTTCTTTCGTTCTTTCATCGACACGAACAATTGAATCTTTTGTTACACCAAGAAGACGTGGTACCAGTTTATTTTTACCTGGCATTTTTTCCTAAAAATATACCACGATGATATAAGTATAACAATTATTTTTCTGTAGAAAAATGATTTATACCTTGACAAGAAAAAATGTAACGCCATAGGTTTTGAGCGATCGACACAATTGTGTATATTTTAATTTAGCATCTGCCTCTGATAAACCAGTATGTTTCTTATGTTCCTAAAATTAAAACAAAAATAAAAATGTGTGAATTATTTTAAAAAAAAAATGTTAAAATAGTTGAAGAAATAACTGTACCAGAAATATTCGTTTTTCAACGCCTTTTATTTTTGTATATTCTTTTGGTAAAAGATCTTTGATACTAAAATTAAAAAAATTTAATCAATTCGTAATAAAAAAGAATCAATCGATTTTGAAAAAACAATCATGCATCGGCAATGATAAAATAAAATTATAAGTGATTCAATAATGCACAATCATGTTCATCCAAAAAAGCATGGAGATTCTCAAAAAAGAGAAAAAAACATCAACTGGGAAGAAGCACACACGCGAATCATCTCTTATTCATACCAATTATTTTTATAATAATGTTCGCTTGATGAACAATTACAACATACATTTTCTAACTCTCTAGAATACGTCGTCTTTTTTGTTATTGTTAAATGATTTGATTACTGTATAGGGGTGGAACGGTTCCAGTTCACGTTCAAAAAATTAAAATTGACATAAAATCGATGAATCTACTTACATTGACTTTGTATAGTGTGTCAGAGGTAGATGATGTGTTTAGTTGATTAAACTAAGTCAATATAACTAGCTACATCGGTGTTATTTTATTTTGAATTCTTGAAAAGAACTGGTAACCAGTTCCCGTTCAACAAGAACTGAACTGGTGACCAATTCTTAAGGACTATAGAAACTGGAACTGTTTCATCCCTATTACTGTGTATTTTTCATTTTTCTTCAAAAAGTCCAACTTACTCTAATATGCCCGGTTTATGTTTGGATTCATTATAATCACCAAATTGTATTTGACATTGTAAACCGGCAAATTGAATTGCTTCTTCAAATGTTACTGGATGAGCACCATCAAGAATACCATTACGACACTAATAACAAAATAATAAAAAAAAAAGAACAGATGATTTTTTAATATTGAATATATTTTTCTTTTACAATTCAATATTCTACATACTTGAACATAGAGTAAATTTAATTGAATAGGATCACGTTGATCGATATTTTTATCTGAGAAAAAAAATTTTCGTTTTAAAACAACAGTTGAATTTTCATCAATGCCTTGTTGACGAAGTGTTTTCGATTGATCAAGCCATAGAGCTAGATGGAAAAAATAAATAAATAAACAAACATCGATTTTAACACTAAAATAGAATTTATCGTCTTACTATCGTCAATTGTATGTAATTTTTTCTTTAGTTCTTCCATTTTTTTATCTGTTCTGTGCAATGAACGATCCTACACACAAATGTAAACAGAATTAAAAAATTTTAATCTATTTAAAGTGAGAATAATCTTACTTTCAACAGTGTTGATGTTTTTAGAGTGTCTGTTGAATCTGTTCCAGAATCATAAATTAATGAATATTCATCATAATTAGCGATACCTAAATAAAAAACACCCTCCATAATTATAGACTGTAACTATTAATCTAAATAAAATAATTAATTTACCAAATTTGGTACAAATATAGACAATGAGTTGAGCAATGATTTGACTATCATCAACCATAATTGTTTTAACTGTCCCATCAAGTAAACGAATTTTAAGTGGACGATATTTGTTTCGATATTCAACAGTATCCTATAGTGTGAGATAGAATTAAACAATGCTAACAACAATGCTATAATGAAAAATTAAGATACGTACACCATTTTTTAATGAATAATAATTCAATGTACGACCATTATCTAACCAAATACTCTTTATGGGATTTAAATTATCATAAATAAATAGACCACATTCAGATGCTAAAAGTACAATATAGACGTATATAATAATGACGAAATATAAATATTTTATTTACTAAAACTTACGATCTCCTCGATATAACGTTGGTTCATTCATTATTTTATCTTGAATAATTCGACATACATCATATACAAGCATATTTGTTTCAAATTGCATTTGTTTAGTGATATTATCACGTGATATATGAATTTTTAAATTTATTACATCATTATGTACACCATTTGTGTAGTTATCACTACTATTATTCCCATTCATTACCATCATGCCACTTCGTTGTTGATTTCCAATTATATTTGTTGATGATATTCGAACACGATCTGGTGATGTATATTCAACACTAATTGGTTGTTGATGATGTGTAGACGATAATGCTGCTGTTTTAGCTGATTTTTCACTTTCGTTTTGCCTCTCACAAACATAACTCTAAAATATAACAGAATAAAAAAGAATAGATAAAAACTACACTTCTTCTTTCTTTTAAAAATAAAATTGATGATGATGGTGGTGGTGGTGATGGTGGTGGTGGTGAATGAAATGATTGAATGTCTCAAATACAGAGTTTGCCTTCTTCAAGTTTCAAGGTTATTTTATTTCCATTCTCGTTTTTTCTCTCTCTCTCTCTCTCTTTCTCTCTCGCTTTAACTGGCAACAAATCAATTGTCAGTTCAATAAAAAAAAAATAGAAAAAGTTTCCAAATTAATTTTCGTTACTGATGTTTAAAACTGTACAGTATTAAGTACTACAATTTTTTTGTACATTGAAAATAACGAATCGATTATGAAAAAATCTTTAAATAAACGAAAACTCTAAAGTTTGATAGCTAAAGAGGATTTATTTAACGATCATATCCTCAATAGAACATTGTCACATTTTGAATTTCATTTCACCCATTTTAGATGCTTATTTCTCGAGTGTCTTATTAATCGATTCGTAGTTACATTTACATAAATAAACATACATATTCATAAAAATATTATTAACTGATTATCTAGTTTTATGTACATAAATATCATTTTTAAATCAATATCTTTACGATAAGTTGAACAATTGAGTACGTTGCTACATCTTACACACTTTTTTTTATTCTCTTCAATGTACTGGATAAAAGTGTTTTCTCTCTTCTTTTTTTTTTTTTCTCATTTCATTTTAAATGAAAGACTGACTAATAGTCAGCCTTTAGGCATGTACACGTAAATGAACGTTACTGTTCATTCATATCTATACATTGTATGTAGTACTGTGTATTTTTTTTCTCTATTCGTGTAACATAGTAGAATTTTACTAACGTAAAAAAAAGCGACAAAGAAACAGAAGACTTATATATATCTACCTTTGTAAAAAAAAAAGAAAAAAGTGCAGAGTATTAATTTGTATTGGAGTTCATATTGATATATGCGTAAAGAGAGAAAAAAGATTTATTCACACCATCATCGAGTGATCGCCATCGTTTCTCATGCGCACTAATTCTCCGGATGTCCTTTTCTTTTTTTTTTCAATAATATCTCAATTCGACGAGCATTCAACTAGAGCTAACAAGCTGACTCTCTAATGATAATATTAAAAACAAAACAAAAAATTCAATATTTTCGTTATATTATAGACTTTTTAACCGTATAAATATCAACCTTTCATAATTGAGTTTTTTAACATTATTGTCTCATATATCTTTAATATATGAAACAAAGAAAATCTTTCTTTTTTTTCTATCACAATTCCCTTGATTCCATATTTTTTTTTAACGTAATATACTTAAAAATAGTACCACCGACAATATATTGCATCGATCATTCTTCTATAGACGATGAAAACACTTGTTTTCTTCGTTCATCTATTCATTCGTTCAAAAAAATTCCTACATTGTTGAGCACTCAATTTATTCATTAACAATTATGTTCAATTTTCTATTCAATAATGTCAATTTTGATTTTTGTGTCAGTGACACAAAACTCTTTTACTCTCTCTCTCTCTCTCTTAACATATTATTATTATTATTATTATTATGATTTTTATTAAACTTAAAGTAGAGTAGACAAGAAGTTAAGAATTTCTATTCTTTGTTTCAATTCACCAGTCGATATGAAAAAAAAATAAAATAAACAAAATAAATGATTAATAACTTGAATATCATTTCTCTAAATTGTAAATGACACACACACACACACACACTTCTTCATCATAATTCAAGAGAGAAAGATGTTTCAACTATTTTTCAAATAAAGAAAGTATTTTCAATCGTCATGTTTCTTTTGTTTTCATTTTAAAACAAGAGCTTAAACAAAAAAAAAAAAGAAGTAGAAAAAAAGAACAAATACTAATAACATTTAACTGACTCTATAATTTCTTATTATACAAATAGAACAAAAAATACACAAAATAAAGTAAATCAATACTTTTCACGTCAATTGAGTTCGATAATTATTTATCCTAATTAATATTTGTTTATCATTCAATTGTGTCAAATAATTATGTTTAATATCATTTAATTGTATTGTACATTTATTTGGCAAAAATAGATAGGCTATTAATGCTTTTTTCATTTTTAATTCATTATTTTCTTTATTTTGAAAACAATTAAAATGATATTTAATCCATATTGTTTGTCTTATCATCCAATTTTGTTTTAAACATTCAATAAGAGAATTATTAAATTTAATATCATTTAAAATAAATAAATTATTAAATAATGTCCAAGCATTTAAATCATATTTATTTTTATAATAATCTAAATAATCAAATAGATAATCAAATAATTCAATTAATAAATGATTATTAAATAAATATTGACAATAATTTAGAACATAAGGTGTTGAACTTGGATCTAAATCAACTAATTGTTTTAATATTTTATATTTATCATTTTCTTTTTGACTATTATTATAATACCAATATAAATATTTTTGTGCATTAATATATGTTGAATGTTTTATTGAATAATTATTTAAAATTGTTTCAATTATTTCTCTAGTTGTATTTGTTGAATATAAAAATGAAATATATTTTAATAAATGTGTATCATATGTATCAAAATATTTATCATAAACATCTTCAATAACATTAAAATCTGTTGTTAATTTAAATGTCCATAATTCAATATCTCTTATATTATTATTATTAACATTATTATCTAAATTATTTTCATTAAATTTAAATAAAAATGGATTTATATTTAATAATAAATTATTTTCATTAATCCATTGTCTATAATTAATTAAAAATTGAATTTTTAATAATAAAAATTGTTCAAATGATTCATTATAATATTTTGTTATTGTACGTCCACTATTATAGACTTTTCTATTTTGATATCTTAATATTAAATCTTGAATTAAATCAATTTTATTTAAATCAAATAAATGTAAACATAAATAGGAATAAAATGCATAGGTATGATCAATTAAAGGTGAATGAAATAATGTATCAAATATTTGTGGTAAAAATGATTCATCTATTTTATTTTCATATTCATTTTCTAAAATACATTTAAATAATAATTGCCAATATAAACGAGTATATGGACGATTAAAACATGATTGAAGTAAATATTTTAAATATAAAATTGTATTTGACCAATGATAATTTAATACATGATGTCTTAAAGTAAGTAATAGAGAACGAATTTGATCATCAAATGCTGTTGTTACCAATTGTTCTAAACGTGTTAAACGATTACCATTTGAATAATGACGATAAGGAGATATTAAACCAGTATAAATATTAGATTGATAATGACCTTTACTAGTTCGATTTATTGTACAACTATGTACGGTTAATTCAGTGGATTCTGAATATATTTCATCATCATCATCGTCATTACTCTCAGATTCAATTGAAGTATGATGACGCTTCATTTTAACAAGAAAAATATCTATAATAACTAACAAAACAACAACAAAAAAAAAAAAAAAAACTCTTTCTTTTATTTACTTAATAAATTCGAATCTGACTAGAAATTATTAAAACGATGCAAATCAATGATAAAATATATTTTCGCTTTCTGAACATTCTTTAACAGATAGATGCTCGACTGTTCATTCTATTGTAGTTGTTTTAGTCGTTTTTTGAAAAAATGATCAAAATTCTCCTTCAAATGTTAGAAATTGAGGAAGAATGTATAGTTTGTGGGTCGGTCATAGAGCATTAAGTTTACGATCTGTTATTTCTCAATAGAAAACACATTAGATCTATCAGGCTAATGAAATGAGATTCTGTAAGTTTTTGCTCTCTCACTCTCTCTTCTTTTTTTGTTTCCCTAGTATTAGCCTTGTATTTATGTAGGAAGAGACAGAGAACATATCTTCTCCCTCTCTCTCTCTCTCTCTCTCTCATCCAAACTATAAATAAGAGCTTGTCATAAAACAAAAAAAGAAAAAAACTATGTATATATACATTTCAGCACATACAAAATAATAATTAACCATAGTTTTACATATCAAAGTTGAGCATGTCTTGAATAGTTTTCTGTAGTATAATAAATATTAAATTACTTTTATTCTGTCAAAAATACAACAAAGAAAAACTAGATTTAACCTACTAACTAAGTTTAAAGAATTCTTGAAACAAGAATTTACTAGTTAACACCTCATTTATACTAATGTGATGAAATAATTTCTGACAGATTCAGTTATTGAATAAAAACCAAAGAGTAGAAAATTTTGTTTTTAATGAATATCATTGATAGAAACAATTTTAAGAGTAACTAAAATCGTTTAAAAACATTTTTATTTCAATTTGTCTTGTAGAACATATTATTTATACTTTATACTCTCTCTCTATTCAATTTAAAATTATTTTAATTATGATTGAAAAAAGAGGAGAAGAAGAGAAGAAAGAAGAAATGATGAAAAGATAATATTTATACAAGAATATTATCGATTAAGGATTTTTCTTGTACTATTTGATAGATGTCTATCGTCTCATAAGACAGATAGTCGATTGAACACATTAACACCAAAATAGGAAAAAAAATTTTTTTTTTTACTTTACCATCACTACTACATCTAAATCAGAAACATACATCTTTTTTTCTTCACTCAACCAGAAAAATATCGCAATACAATACAATAAATATATATTGTATATATCCACGAAACTCAAAACGTAAAATCATACTTTCTAATAAAGCAGAAAATCATGTTTTTCCAGAATATAAAGTCAAATACATGCACTGTTTTTATAAGTTAACAAACAATTGTCATTTATTTAGTGATATTTGATGAACAAGGGTTTAGATAGACGGTATTATCCATGTCTTAACGATTCATCATAATTAGTATTATTTACAATAACAGCCAGAGTTTTCTCAAATATACTGAAGACTTTTCTTCTATAGGAAGCTCGTTATCTCTAATAGGACACTGTGCTACTTTGACTGATTAATATTTGTAATCTTACCTCTTTAATAATCTCTTTATATCGAACCATAGCAAGAAGAAAATATGATTCTATACGTATGATGGAAGAGAAATTGTTGAACAACAAAATGAAGAGGAAAAAAAGAAGCAATTTTTAGCTCGTTCTTTCTCTTCTTTTTCTGTTGGAAAACGATGTGAAATAGAACATACATACACACCGAGTACAACTAGTAGATTTTTTTGTCAACAATAATCAACGGATCTTACATACATTGCGTAAGAGCTGTTTTTACAGAAATATGTTGAGAAATGAAAAAAAAATGTATATAAGAAACAAGGCCGACGAATTGAGCAGATGCTGAATGTATTCCTTACTTATATTATTCCTACTACTTTGATGATAATGATACCATAAGAAGAAGCGGAAAACAGAACAAACTCTTTCTTTCTCCATATTTAACTTTGTATGAAAGAAGAAGAGGAACGAAACAAGTTTGGATAAAGAAATAAAGATGATGACAAGCACACAAAAATAACGAGTGCCATAGAAAGAGATGACGATAGTGATTTGGATCCTACAATTAAACGTGTACTATGAGACTAACGATACAAAATCAGCAAGTTATGAGGTTAACAACAAAAATGAAAAATATTTCAATAAGTCTCATGAACATACATAGAACAAGGTTTAAATAAACAAAACTTCTTCCTTTATCCAGCCGTTTACGTTTACTTATAGAATAAGAAAAGAAAAATGCTCAGTACAGAGCCCGAAGAGCTCTTAAAATACTTTTTCTATTCAATATATGTTGGCTAAATATATTTCGTTATATTTACTGTGAGATAAAAACCTGTAAGCACAAGGCCAAAAAAAAAATTCTGATCTCTGATCAAAATATACAGTGTACTACTTCATGGTAACTTCTCATAATCTGGATCTGCCTTGGATTAACTAGTCTTGGTATCATCATTGATCGATCTTTTTCAGACTTTGTGGTATCGCTCAAGAAGACGAGGATGCACTTACCTCCGAAGCTATATCGGATGTCATGGGGCGAATCTGAAGATTTAAAATGAGATATTACTCTGCGTTTTCCTGTAGAACTTTGTTTGCCTCGTTCTGTTCAATATTGGCTGCCAGATTTTATCTCACAGCTATTAACAATATAAACTATCTGTTATAAATAGTATCCTAGGCGTGCAACACGTATAAAGACTAACTGAACGGTATTTACTATAAAAGAAACACTCTTAACAATAATTTATAATTTTTAAGTCATCAAATTTTTTAATTATTCTAAAAAACATACGTTTATCATAGCACTAATACGTCTAAAAATGATTTGTTACTGATTATTTTTAACTCTTTTGAATAATTATCAATTAATTCTTAGATTAATTCAACATTTTTCTTCAATAATTCGCATACGTTACAATATTAATTAGTTAACAAAATTCGTCCTATTCCGTATCTGCATATCTTTTTCGATCTGATAAATAAACAGAGAATATGGTAGATTGAAATAATTGTCCACTGTAGGGATTTGTGACTTTTCTTTATATATTAGATCCAAATAGTCCGACTAGCATCACAAATAATATTTATGTCTCTTTGGTTTTTGTCAAATCGAATCTAAGATTTCGTTGCCAAACGTTAAATTGTTCCTTTTGATAATTCTATTAGTGTTGCCGCAATAAGTCTATTTATCAATTTTTTGATGTTACGTTCACTAATTGATTAGTTAAACGGGACATTGTTCGTCAAAATTTTGCTAAATTCTTCATGTCTTTGGTATTATAGACGATAAGTGTTCAATAATATCGGTTTCTTATACAATTGTGTTGATGATTCATTATAGAAAATGTGTAGTAACTCTACCACATGTTCGTTTCGTCTTGTTCTTTCGATTTTCATTCACCCACATTTCTGGCCTATGTCATGTACGACATTTCAATCCTTATGACCTTTCCGATTTGATCGTAAAACACTATATTTGACCGACTATACACAACTGAATGCTTTACATTGTATTAATCCTTTGAAATTATAGAGTGATAACTCAAATCAAGGACTAAGCCAAAACGATCGACCATCTGATGTGATGACATTTGCTATACACTAAATAGTAGCTATTTTTATTTTGATGACAAATCAGGTTATTCTTTGGTATAATAATGTAATTTTGTTGTAGCCATAAAATTTCTACGAGACATTTAATAAATAAAGCTATTTTCATATCATTTTTGTGATAATTCACTATTTCATAATAAGATTGTGAGCTTCTTGTATTCTCAAGGTTCACTTCTGTAAGTTCTATTAATCAGAAAAATGTATGAAATTGTATTTGAAATGATGCCTTATTATTTGTAATTGTGAAACTTTGCAAGTTTAGTTGCATCAGAAAATGTAATATAAAGAAAACATTTTTTGACTAGAGTAAAAATATTCTTTACAAACAAGTTAAAAACATATTTAGATAAAAGGTAACGTGTATTTCGAAGGATACGATATCTGACTCTTATCTGATCTCTTTTCTCTTATGGAAAACACGGTGTAATTTTTCAATCTAAACGGAGATCAACTGTTGAAGTACGCAAAGCTAAAATTTCTAATCTCAAAAACATCGTCATTACAACTCTTAACTCCGTCTAACGGTGAGTTTCGGATATAAATATTACTTTGAAATCCATTCAAAACTTACAAGATTTTTTAGTTTTAATAACTTTCATATCTCACACAGACACAAAAATTATTCGAAATAAAAATAATCTATAGTCCAATAGCCTTATCTGGAAACGTAAAAGATTACTCGACAAGTTTCCAACCGCCAATGTCAAATCATCTGATTTTTACCAAGAGAGTGAGATAAGACTTCTGCAAGGTAGAAGATTTAGCTAGAATCTCGTGAAAAAATGAAAAATTTGATCTGAAATGGCAAGGAGTAAGGATCTTTCCAGGCACACTACAAGAGTAATGAACGGTGTAGTAATTGTCTCCGCGAAACATAGGAACATGGCCGCAAGGGTATTCTATGGATAATCTAATCAAAAAACGAAAAAGAATAGACCGGAAATTTTAATGTAGTTTCGTTGTAGAAACCGATAGAATTGGTTAAATAGCGAAGAAAGTGCATTCAAATAGGCGACCGACCATTAGGTGCCTACTGAGATCAAAGATTCTGGTTGAAGCGGAAGGCGATTTTCGTCTTAATTCAAAAAGTTATCCAAAAAATAAGTTACTCTAAGATGAGAACTCAGATACGTGTTAATTTTTAGTAATTAAGTACTGTGAATAGAATGCTGAGTAAATTGATTTTTCTGAGCACCGTTTTAGAGTAAGGCAGTAAGAGAAGAAGAATAACTGCTGGTCCAGATTAAATTGCCGGTTTTTAATAGGCTTTTTTCTCAAATTATATTCGACCAGAAAGTTTGGTTCTGATGCTAAAAGATAGAGAATTTTGTATAGATTTTATTGATATGTCTTTTTTTGAATAAGCAGGTACCTTTCGTTTGTAGTATTAAAGTATTGAGTGCTACAAAAACATCATTTGCTCAGCACTTGCCTGGAATAAAATGTCATTTTTATTTGCTAAATAATTTTCTATACGCTATTCAAACATACTATGAAACAGTACAGAAACGTATTTGTTTTGGACTGAGTTTTACTATGTTGAAAACCGCCTACCAAATATACCTAATTATCTATTCTTGGCGCACTTTCATGCCAACGAAAGCGTTTCAACTTTGTCATTTGGTTAGGAAAGAGGTCAGCCCTTATAAAGAAGAGCATTCTGTAGAGCTTTAAATTTTGCATCTGTTTTAGACGAAAAGGATAATTTTTGTAAGACCAGGTTGTGAGAAAATTGCTAAAGAAAAGTAGGGTGTCGTGGCCTGTGAACGTCTTTTTGATGTTCTGTAGTTTTCGAAGGAGAAGTAACTAACCTTATCCAAGCCAACACACTACGAGATACATCGAAAAATTCTACATCTCTTACTATACTACAAAGGAATTTTTGAACTCAATCTAGCTGGGCAAAATTAATTTTTACATGTTTCCGATTTTGTAGTTGAACAAGTGATATTTTTGTGGCATCCAATACTTTTAATAGAGAACTAGCAAATAATGGATATCACTTTTCGCGTATGCATATCTTTCTTTTCTATTGACACGCTGAGAGGGAAAATTACGCCGCACATGGGATATCTTACGTGGAAAGAGATATCTCCTTATTTGCTAGTGCTCTAATGCTACAAAAGAACTGCACATACTTATTTAAAAAAAACATATCAGCAAAATCTACACAAAATTCTCTATCTTTTATCATCAGAACCAAACTTTCTGGTCGAGTGTAACTTGAGAAAAAAGCCCATCAAAAACCGCCAATTTAATCTCGACCACCTGTCACTTATGCCAATAAGTAGTCTATAACGTAAATGGGTTTATTACACTAGATAGCAGTAAGTTAGTGGATCGCAGTAAGATAATACGCGTAGTTACTAGAAGTTACCTGCCAATAACAGCTGTCACTATCATTAAAAAAAAGAGAAAACATGGACGTTCGCAAACTCTTGCATTGGTTAGAGCAGCCATATTGAGCCTTTTCTCTTGGCAGCTAGTTTTTAACCAATGCTGAATCTACCTGCATCGGCAAGTGTTATCTGCAGGTGGCCTCTAACGGCGGATAATACCTAATTAAATTCAATCAAACTTTTTGTAGGCGGATGCGAGGAACAATAAAACTAGAGGTCACTTTTAGTCAGTCAGTAGAAAGGAGTTATTATTAGTTACGAAATGAAGACTTTGCTTGAAAAATTTAGGCGTATTTTTTTTCGTACTACATTTGATTTTACGTCTAGAAATGTAAAACTATTTCCACATGCTTTTGACAGATAATAATTAGTAAGAATTTTAGCAAATCAGAAGAACATGTCCAGTACAATCAGCGGCTTTCATCACATGAATAAAAAAACGAAAAAAAATAACTCCCCAAAATATTCGTGATCAAATCCTTTTTTCTTGGGCTCTGTTTTATAGCTATAGCTGTCGTCTTTTTTAAGTTAGCATTTTTTAGGCTTAAAGACAACAATTTCCAGATCTTCAAACTCCGCACAAAAACACTCAGTTCGGATTTTTTTTAGTTTCGTGTAATCATACAATAGAGGAAAAAATGTTGATAAACAGAAAGTAAAAAAATGGGACTGTATAAAAAATTTAAGAATTTGATCCAATTTTACTGATTATTTTCTAGATATTTTTTGTTTTTATTCTTGTTAAACTTTCGTATTTATTATTGTTGTCCTTCATAATCACAAAGCTACGATGAATGATGTCGTAAATCATTTATCCCACAATGGCATGCCCACTGAGAATGGGAGCTCTAATGATGATGACGATGAATTAATTTCTGAGACCGATGTTTATTTGAATCGTACATTAGCCGAACAATTATATGTCTTTCAATTTCCAATACGTCCCCATTATCGTCCGTATGAAGATAATTCATTTTCTGGTGCAAGAATCAAGAAAAAATATCAAATGTTTGAAATGGATTCGTTAATTAACGTTAATCAAGCTAATTATTTTAAATCAAGAGGACGACAATTTGCAGCGTTTACAGAATCATCAAACAATAAAGAAAATACTAACAACAACAAACAACGCTATTTTCATAGCGATTACATGGACAAACAAATTTTATCAACTAATAATATGACATCTGGTAAAATTTTAGGGTTTCTTCTTATAATATTCTTCAAGTGTACAAAAAATGTTCAGAAAGTTAATCTTACTAAGAAACTATGCTTGTTGTATCAATGCGAATTTCTCTTTTTCCAGAAAAAAATGTTAGTTGGTTAGTTAGACCCGCTACCGTTTCCGATGTAGGGTGAGAAACAAAAAATACACAAATAGACAGAAAAAGCATTTTAAAAAGTCAGTGTCTGTGTAGTTTTTTTACGAATAGCCTGTTGATCACTGCGAAAAACTTAGTCCAGGATATACATCAGAATACTATCCTCTGGTGACCCAGCTTAGATAGTACCTATCATTCACTCCAAGAATCAGTTCCCAGTGAGTGTTTAACAATCAAATTTGCTGCTAACACTTAATATTGTTCTCTGAACACCAACTTTTAGTATTAGGACATGCTTTTACATGATTTGTAATTTCTTGTGGTTTGAAATATTTTCCACACCCAGGACACTTGTACTGGTTATTAGTAGTTTTCTTTAACACCTCAGTAACTTTTCGTTTGAACATTCCATGTTATGCTGCCAACTCCTCTCCTCTTCGTCTGACTGCACGTTGTTTAGATTCATAGACGATGTCTTGAATTCTGGCATTTACGGATCTCTCTTGCATATTTCTCTTGATTATTTCCCGCTAGTGATCTCTGTCAAGAGTCCCTCTTCTCCAATTTTTAATTTGACATACTTCAATATCATTCTGAACTTTGTCCTTTCATCTCTTCCTGATACCGATATTCCGAGGTCGTTTCTTCGAGGTCGGTATGAGAACATGATCTTTTTGACTACTGAGGATTCGTAATCACTGTTTCAGAAAATTTTTTTTTGGAAAAAAGTGATATCTCATTTCAATCCGTATGACTTTATCTTGGAATTGATTATTAACAATTTCTAAATGCAATAAAATGTTTTACTATCTGTTTTTTTGTTTAGATGATACTAACTGTCGGTACTGTGTTGGTCTATTTGAAAACAATTGTTTATATTTATGCCCAGTAAAAGCTATATTGCAACTGCGTCCACAGTATACATATTTAGATAGTACAGCAACAACAGGTGTAGGGGATCCAAGATCGAAAGGTTATAATCTAGATGAAAGGACAGCTAGCGATGGAGAACATTCTGAAAATAGTGAAGATGAAGAAAAACCAACAACAACAAGTTTAATAACAATGAAATTTGCCAAAAAAGAAAGTGATTATCATAAAAAGAAACGTTTACAGTCGTACGATTATTATAGACAATTACGAGATGATGAACGATGGGAAGATCTTGTTTGTTTAATGAATCAAAGATCAACAGATTCAAATCGACTTAGAAAATCGCTCATATCATGATAAGAGTAAAACTATTTTTTGCTGTGATATATTGATACGTCTATTTTCAAATGACAGTTGCGATCAATAACACTTTTGGCTCCGTTTTTTTGTATTTTTTCCTCTTGTTTTTTTGCTTTTTATTGCCATATTGTTTTTGGGTGCTGTTTGATAGCTTTTTTGTATTTTTATTTTTCGGAATAAACCAACGGTGACTTGTGATACACTTGATTGTTTGACCTAGTTTTAGATTACTCATTTTCGTTAGATAATATCACTTTGATTACCTTTTTAAATTGTTCTTCCGCGTGTATTTCAGAACATTACTTCGCATGTTTTTCACTAATGTTTAAAACACTCATCCGGACAAATTTAACTGAACGACAATAACTAGAAAAAAATAGTCTATTAGTTTGTTATTCTCATTGAGAGAAGCCGAAACATATAAAATACAAAAGATTCGCGTATGAAATTACATTTGTATTGTATTCGTGCTATTGACAGCTTTTAACAACTAATGAATTGTTATTTTGTCATACAGATGAATATATCACCGAAAAAAGAGGAACATCAACATTTTTTACGCGTACCAGACTTTTTTGTTACGTTAGAAGTAATTTGAAATCGGTTTTGTACGTATACTACTGTTAGAAAATAGTGACACTCACACTCAAAAATATTGTACATTCGCTTAAGAATTATAATTTGGATGGATATTACATTATAAAGCTATACGTATCTGCAGCTTTGTTTTTCTAATATTTTAGATAATTCATCATTGAAAATGATTTAATTCTCACTAAAATGGATTCGTACGATATACCATCGGAGCCAACGTTACCACACCTGCACAATCGTATCCCACCTCCAACGCTACCAAGAGCGAATATAAGACGAAAACCAGTTGCTATTGATTTAAATGCACAAGTCCCACTTTCAACTGATACAAGAAATGGTAAATATTATCAATTTTTTGATATTGGTCAAAAGAAAATTGATGTCCTTTTTCATTCTTTACAAATTGATGGTTTAAATTTTCTCGTGTGTAACACTTTTAGTTTAGAACTATCAAATAAAAATGAAAATTTTTATTATCCAGCAAAATGAAATTAGTATGCAATAGCCTTTTTTTAAGCAGTTTTACTCTTTGGTATTAAAACAGAAAATAAAGTCTATGTATGTGTTTAGAATCACCGCTGAATGATGACAACTTTTACTCTTCACCTTCCACAGATAGAGAACATCACGCTTATTATGTCAACCATAATGAAGAGAGAGGTGGTCAGAAATTTAATGATTTCTATGTAGTACCAAGTAACGATACTGAAAAATTCAGAAATGATCGCAATACGCCTACTCTACAACCGATGGGAACAATAGTCAATCGACCATCAACACCAGTACGACGTGTCAATAATTTAAAGGAAGATGAAGATAATAAATATATTTATTCAGGAGCAACAACTACAGCAACGTCGTTGAATAACAATGATCTCTATTCATCACCTCCCGCATTTTCAAGAACTTTTCAGTTAGAAGAAAGCTTATCATTTGACAGTAATGATAACGAATTGAATTATCAGCGACATTCATATTCGTTAGATTCTGTTCCCGATGTACCATCAACGACTCGTTCTAATACTAATAATCATAATGATCTTACGGAATTGCCCACCTCATCAAATTATTATTCTTATCCTGAACAGCTGCAATCTTCAATTCATACCGAGAAAGATCATCCTATTGGACTTGTTAATACTTCATCAAATAGTGTAAAAAGACCCAAAAGCAATATACCGGTAAATCTCTTATATTTTATTTTGCTCTCATTTTTTCCTAGAATTTCATTTTTGCAAAATAATATTAAAGTTAAAAGAAAAACTGCTTTCTCGATCTATTAATAATTCTAAATGACTACAAACTATCCCTATATTCAGTGATTCTAAACGGATTATGGAACTTTCGTCACACCACACTTTCGTCATTATGACGAACGCACTTTTGTCATACATGACGAAAGTTCCTTGGGCGGAGGTACTCCTCGGGAACTGTCGTC